TTCCCGCTTTTTCGAAGCGTTCGTTTGTTGACTTGATCATATTGAAAACTTTTTTTATCAATTAGTGGAATAAACGAACATAGACAAGCATGAACAAACATGGACAAGCAAATACGTAACACGAATGTAGGCAGACGCTCTGCTTTCTATAAGAGCTCCCTCTTTAGCCGCAGCAGCATCTGAAAAAAACTCCGAGATAGTATGTACAAACGTCAATGCATAGGCTTTCACGTTTTCACCAAAAATTTCCGTTAACACATTGACGACCATGCAGATTTTTACTTGTTTGCCTTCTGCGACCAAGGCCTTTTCCAGACCAGCCCAAATTTTTCAACTAAAATTATGCATACTGAAATCTATACAGTACACCTACAGTATGTCTGGGAGGCTGACAAAAATGGTAGAGGTCATTACTAGATTCAGCGCAAAATAAAGCTCATGGAGTGGATTTTCCCAAAATAGCAGTCATTCTAACAAAATTCAAGCCTTGACACACATGGTGTGTCAAGCGGTCGTCAATGTGTTAAAAACTTGTTTGCGACTTTTAAGGATTGCCAAATTGTGATTGGCATCAATTTGCTAGTCCTACATCTCAGTGGAATATCTTATCAAAATTTATCTAACAAAAATCTGTCAGTCATAAAAAAAAATATGGAAAGTGTCAATAATGGATTTGTGTTGCTAGTAGTAACCGTCCCTGCTTATATAAACCCACACAATATTCAGCAAAAGGACTGGGATCAGAGGTGCGATAGGGGGAGCCGGGTCCCCCAAAAGTGAAGGTGTTCCCTGCTACCACTGGCTGCCAAAAGTGAAGGTGGTAGTGCCGGACACTCACCTCCCAAAAATGTCGACCGGGGGGGGGGGGGGGGTCGCAGCTACCACAGGGCAGCAAAAATGAAGGTGGTAGTGCCGGACACTCACCTCTCAAAAACGTTGACCGGTGGTGGGGGTAGAGAGGGGGGGGGGGGGCACAGGACGGACTTTGAACTGGGTTTTTTGGGTTTTTTTTCGGACTTTTGGGTATTGATTTTTTTGCTGAAACTGAAAAAAAGGAAATTAAGGAAAACGAACGCAAAAGAAAGTATTGAGAGCATATTCTATGTAGTTTATTTTTAGGAAATCGCCGTCGCCTTCTGGGAGAACTGGAGGTCATCACCGGCATGGACGCATATACGCCTCAGCTCTTTCTACGATAGAGCAAAGCTTCATGATGACTTCGGACAACTGAAGAGCTCTAACCCAACGGTCCTCTTTAGGGCCAATAACTGCGACCCAACGGCCCTCTTTAGGGCCACAGATACGATGAACACAGCGGCATAAATATTCGAAATAAACGTGTCAATGAAATGGTGTATTTTGAAGTGAAACTCAACGACACTCTACAGATTTTATTAAGTAAATTTAGTTATGTCGTACTGCGAAGAAAGTAGGTCGATCCAGGAAGTATTTGCCGAGAACCAGAATTTTGAATGAAAAAATAACCAGAAATCATGCAAAATTGCCACTGTTATAAACCAAGTGGTTGAAGATGTCAGCAACTGCGACTTCATAGGTTTTAAAGGGTAAGTGTTGCTCTAACAGATAGTGAAAGAATCGGGTCGATTTGAGCAGTGGTCGCTGAGAACGAGAATTTTGAAAAATTAGGCGATTTTAGGCTAATTTTTGACTGCTGACATTTGAACTCCTAAAACTCTTGATTGTGAAGATGTGTGATGTTGCGACTTCATAGGTTTTCTAGGGTAAGGTTTGCCCTACTAGAATATATCTTACCCGTACCAATTCACCAAAGCACCGCCGAGATCCAGGCTCTTGAAAAAGCAGGTAAAAAACAGCTTTTTGAACTTCAACAGCTCATAACTTCTTCAGAATTGCACGAATCATGCTGCGACTTCATAGGTTGGATTCTTCTCATCAAGAGCTTTCAGATGATATACAATATGTGGGGGTTTCGCGCCTTTCACGGCATATGCCCGGGGGGGGGAGACTTTTCAGGCCAAAGTCTCCCCTGGCGGCCTCCAGCCAATACATTAAAATGGGCGAGGGGGAGACTATGGCCTGAAAAGTCTCCCCCCTGGGTTAGAGCCGCAAAAATCATTGAACTCCCCACATATTATATATCATCTGAAAGCTCTTGATGAGAAGAATCTAACCTATGAAGTCGCAACATGATTCATGCAGTTCTGGAGAAGTTATGAGCTGTTGAAGTTCAAAAAGCTGTTTTTTACCTGCTTTTTCAAGAGCCTGGATCTCGGCGGTGCTTTGGTGAATTGGTACGGGTAGGATATATTCTAGTAGGTCAAACCTTACCCTAAAAAACCTATGAAGTCGCAACATCACACATCTTCACAATCAAGAGTTTTAGGAGTTCAAATGTCAGCAGTCAAAAATTAGCCTAAAATCGCCTAATTTTTCAAAATTCTCGTTCTCAGCGACCACTGCTCAAATCGACCCGATTCTTTCACTATCTGTTAGAGCAACACTTACCCTTTAAAACCTATGAAGTCGCAGTTGCTGACATCTTCAACCACTTGGTTTATAACAGTGGCAATTTTGCATGATTTCTGGTTATTTTTTCATTCAAAGTTCTGGTTCTCGGCAAATACTTCCTGGATCGACCTACTTTCTTCGCAGTACGACATAACTTTTACTTAATAAAATCTGTAGAGTGTCGTTGAGTTTCACTTCAAAATACACCATTTCATTGACACGTTTATTTCGAATATTTATGCCGCTGTGTTCATCGTATCTGTGGCCCTAAAGAGGGCCGTTGGGTCAATTGTTGGCCCTAAAGAGGACCGTTTGGTCATAGCTTTTTAAATCGAAATTCGTCCCGAAGCTATCTTCTCCGATTTCGTGGAAAGGCGGAAAAGTGGATGCGTCCATGGCGGTGATGGCCTTCGCTTCCGATGGGTGACGGCGAGTTCCTAAAACTGCAATACATATGTATATGCCTTCAATAATCCCTTTTGCGTTTGTTTTACTTATTTTCCTTCTTTATATTCAACAAAAATTTTTTCGCAAAAGTGAAGGTGGTCACTCTGTATCAGCTCAAAAGTGAAGGTAGGGGGAGACTTGGCTCCCCCTATCGCACCTCTGACTGGGATCGCATGTAACCCACTGAGGAATTTGCACCATGCTTGGGTTCGCCAACCCAGCGCTCAGTGGGTTCCGGAACCCACGAGGACTGGGTAACTTGTCTTGTGAATACCGGCATGCTTGACATTTGGGTTCGTTCGTAAATACCGGTTAAATGTCTTTTGTGGGTTCCGGAACCCACTAGCTCCGTGAATACCGGTTTTGTGGGTTGAGCCTACCCAATGGGTTGTGAAATCCACTGGGTTTGTTGATGAATACGGCCACTGGAGTAGGTAAAAGAACAGTACAAGACATTGACAAAGCAGGGCGCTGATGATGATGTCCAATGTGTACCCTTATAACTCAAAGAATGCTGGCGACGGCAATTTGGCAGCAAGAATCACGCGGTTCGTCGTGTCCGTATTCGAAAATTTCCTTTAAGGGATCCACAATCGGTGTCACTCATGAGGGACTAATGGGTATAGCCAGGGTTGAGCGTGGGGTCAGGCGCGCCCGACCTGGAGGGTCGTACTGAGGTAAGAGCAAGGGGGGGGGGGGGTTCTGATCAAAAAAGAGTTTGATCAAAACATTGAGGAAATACCGCGATCGGGTAAGGTGAAGAAGAAAAGCGCTCAACCGTGGATCTCACAACTCCACTAGAAGTGATGTTCATGAACTGCATGCTGATTAGTTCGACTAAGGATGTCTCAGCCAAATTCCAGTCCTTTATCTCTTACCTTACACATACAGTAAGGTACCAGAGAAGCTTTCTTGTAGATTGGGTATGATTTTCGTAATCAGCATGCCAAATTACCTCAACGAGGCTCTGCAAACCATTACCTATTGCATTTTCTAGCGTTTCTCAACGTTTGAAAAGCCTGATTTTCAAATATAATTAACTTGGCTTCAAAAGCGAAAAAAGTCAGCTTGTTCATGCTCATAACAAAGTTTTCTACAAGTCTATGCTAGAAATCAGGCTTCATATCGCTTTCGCATAGTGGAGTAAGAAGTGCTGCCAAAATTCCAGCCGGCGCGTTTTTCACCTTGAGTGCTTCAACTCCACCGATCATCACAGTTCCAAAACAAGTCAAGGTAAGCTTAAATACCTGTTGTAGAAACTTCGAGGTTTATGCTAGCGAATTATATAAAACTATGGTGGAAAAGCTTCTTCGGTGATGAAGTTAATAGGGTCAGGCCGCCTGAGCTTTTGAGGGGTTGACCCCATTAACTTGCCTTCAAATAACTGAAAACCTTCCAGTTTTTCACCTAAACTTCTGACTGATCCTTCCTCTCCCCATAGCCAAAATTTTATCCGATTTCATCACTTTTCGAAAAAGTTATCATTGGTTAATCCTACCCATGCGCCTAAGACGATCGTCGTGATTTTTCCGTCAATTTTTTCCTACTGTAGGAACGCATCTCGTGCAAAGTTTCTGCACGAGATTGCAAAACGCGGCAAACCCCATTTTCGAGCGGTCGTTCCATCTCCTCGTCGTCGCAGGCCGGTCGGCCCCAATGTGGATTTTTACTTTCTTTTTCTTTTCACTTTCTTTCTTCCCCGCTTTCCTCCTTTCCCAAATCCTTTGTTGTCTTCTTCCTTTCTGCTGTAGCTCGCGATTTTAGCTCTAGCTGTCTTTTTTTTGTCGAACGCTTATGTGCTTTTGTGCAGTTAAATTTTGCAGTAATTCTGATTTGATCAGTAACTTATTTTCTTTTTAGGTTTTTGGCAAGAAGAAAGTCCTGAGAAGAGGAGCGAAAGAGCATTTTTGGACTAGGCAAAGGATTTCTCAAGAACATAAGGAGTTTTTCAACATTGAATGTAACTTTTCAGTCGGTACTTGTACTTGATTTTCTTCATCCTTTTGTTATTTCAAAGCTCGTTCACAGCACTATAAAAATCTTAGCCATCTGCGAAATTCCGAATGCGTGGATTTCTTCAGCGAAATTCACAGAAGCAAAGGTTCATTTAAATGTTATATTGTAGTTTTACCAAACAAAACTTGACTTTTCTAGTCCCAAGGGAAATTCGAAGCGGCCTGTTCACATGCTTTGTCTGCCGAACTATGTTGCTGCCTTACAACTATTCGCTGACGAAGTAGCGTCAAATGCAATAGCCATGGGCGATCTACAACAATTACGGCCGCTTGCTGAGAAAATGGAGAAAGCTACTGATAAAATTAAGGTCATTTTTACGAATCATGAAGGCTTTTTTGAGTAATCTAAATTTTGTAATTCAAGCTTTGGGGCGCTATTGGACAAGTTTATGCTGATTACTGCATGCTAAAAACAATGGATGATGAGGAGGATAGTGAAGAAATGTGAGTGGGATTGAGAATACTCTTTTGTGCAATTCCAGGGGTTCGATTTCAGGAAGAGAAGTTGCATCAATTGATAGAGTCTATCTCTACCACAATAAAAGCACCTATCTTCAAAACTCCAATTCAACAATACGTTTGTCTTATCTTCTTTGTATGTGTTGCTTTTTTTATTTTGGTTTTTTTCTTCAAGTTTGAATTTAGACTTCTAACCAGCATTTATTGAATTAGTCAATTTGATCGTTGTTCGCTGTTATCTCTCTTTGCTTTTCTTTCTGAAAGACTTTATTGAGTAATCTTGCTTAAAGGCAGCGTCCAGGCAAGTCTGGATACATGGGGATAGTAATTTTGGGGCTCTAAGTCGCTGCCCAACCGGCAGCTCAGGTAGTGCTCTAACGGCTGAGATACTTCCCTCAAAATTGGACCCCGCGATCGTATTTCGCATGAATTCGTGGCGCAAAGCGTGGCTCCTGGCGCTATCTCAGCCGTTAGCCCTACCTGCGCTGCCGCTTGGGCAGTGCCTTAGTCAGGGCCCCTTTACTTTCCACGTAAAATCCCCATAGGTCCAGATCTGCCTGGACGCTGCCTTTAACAGGCAGGGGTTATTCAACTTTCTGTTGTTTGACACGTAGTTGTTAGCTTTAACTTTCATCAGTCTCCGTAAACTAGAGATATGGCAATGGCAACGAACGCAGAATGGTGGAATCTGGCGTCGAAAAGCAGTTTTTTAGTTAATTGAAATTTTAGAAATCTGGTTCGCAAATTTTGCATGCACCAACGGATGAGAAAATTCGTTGGTGGTGGTGCCAGCGGTGTTATAGTTAACTGCACGGAATCGCCCGGGGTGAACGCCCGTGAGGTTGTCTTTTACGGGCTAACATTGACATTCGCGCGCATGAGACATAGTCATCATAGCGCCCGTACTAGGCAGCCGCGTTGCAGGCACGCTCGCTTGCATTCAGCCTACAGCGACCCGGGCGATTTCGTGCAGTCGACTTCACCACAATCACGCATTTACCGATTATCGGAATTGTCCCTGTAGCACAGGTAAGGCATCTTTTTTCTGTTTTATACTCTTCCACACTGTACATTTATCTTTCTAGAGCCCGTTCCCACCAGCTGGGGAAGTCGCTTTTGAAATGAAGACATCGGTATCTGTTTCGGCAGAAAGAGAAGACAAGTTAGTTTTTTTGCATCTACTAAGCTTAAATCGTTTGGCCATTGTTGACTGAATGTTGTAAGTGGTTTTATTCATCCGTCCGATCATGTGTAACTTTGCATGAACAGCACTTCCAATTTGAATTGTTTACCTGTCTTTTTATCTCCGCTCTAGACTGTTACCGAGCAAAAGTAAATCGTTTGGGATAGTCGTTCAGATAATCGCTAGGTTCAAAATTGTTTTGGTGAGGGAAGTGGGAGCGGTATTCTTTTTTCCAAGCAATTTTTTATGTCTGCGGTAGCGAGCGATATCCGATATGTTATACTGTCAGGAGACGCGATGTCGCGGTATTTATAGGACTTCTGGAACACAGGCTTTGTTATGTGATGATCAGCTACTGAAGGCATCTTGGTATGTGGCACTAACTCACCGTACCTCAAAGGAACCGCACTAACTCATCGTACCTCAGAAGAACCATCTCTTTTCGAATGGTGCATAAACTTTATCCCCCTACATATCGTGCCCATTGTTGTTCGTGGTTGAGGTGCATGTTTTGGAATGGTTTGGTTATTTCGTATTTAAGCTCTCAGTCATATTCGCATTATTTACTCCAGTGTTTTCGCCTTATATTTGTATAAAACGAACTTGGTAAGCGAAGTTCTTAGTAGAATCATTTTATGCGGCCGCAAGCACAACACAGTTAGCAAGCAAGTCATAAGTTGCTCACATTTTTGGACCTCTAAGTTTCTTTGGGGACTTAATATGAGCCAAATTTAAGGCGATAGCAGCTTATAATTTTGTTTTCTTCCAGTTGAGATTTCTAATACGATTTTAAGCCGTCGCTGATCCACCAAAGTCCTTCGATGCCCTCCTCCAGGATACTCAAAGCTGACTGTTTGGGGTACCACTTCGACCACTGGAGACTGGGATTTCCCGAAAATGGGATCAGCTACCGCTAACCCCTTTGTTGTGTTTTGCTAATAAATTTTTTGTGATATAAGAAGGTACACAGAAAAGAAAGATGCAGAGGTGGGGGGGGGGGGGGAGAGGGGGAGGGGGAGAGGGGTTCGTATTTGGCGGCCTTGCGCCTGACCTCTTTCTCAACCTTGGGTATAGCCGTTTAAACATCATGTTACGGACATGTTCAGCATGTGTAGGAGATGATATGATACTCAGAACTATAATCGTCTAATACCACTCGTCAGCCAAAACTCCACAAGAGTTATCTGCCGAGCGGGTCTTGAGCGATTGGACACGAGTACACCTCAAACTTGGGTAGTTGGACTTTATCAGAGACCGAATAAGGAAAACAAAATCGGATAGAACAGATAACAAATAATGTTACTAAATGATAAACTCCATATAGGAATGATATGAATGTAAGAAGGCACAAATATATACAGAGTGTCCCAAAAAAATGTGAACACTGTTTGATCGTTAATAACTCCGTTGCTTTTATGTCTTTCGCCGAGCTTTAGGCACCATTTCGTAGACCGAGGTTCAGCTTAGATTTAGAGTATGAAACAAAACACCGATCTCCCTTCGCTACTGTTGGATTACGGTAGGAATTTCCACCGTGTGAATCCATTGTGAAATATGCCATTTGATAAAATTTTTTCCAAAAAAGCTGAAAAATCGTGTACTAGGGTTTTCGCGCACGCTGAATCCATTACACAACTTTTTACGAGAGTTTTTAGCTTTTTGACGGGGCAATTACATTTTTGACAAATGCTGGGAATTCTGTTATTACGGTTTACCTGGGATAACTTCGGAAAGAAGCGTCACAGTACAGTGGAAATTTCATATTCGAAATCAGCGGCTTCCATTACTATAGTATAAGAGCTTTTGGCTTGTTTGGTTTTGTTCCGAGGCAGAATATGGCCTCTAATGGCCTAAAATCCTTGTCAAAGTTCCTACCGTAATCCTACAGTATTGAAAAGCGATCGATGATTCGCTCCATACTACAAATCTAAGTTGAACCTCGCTCTACAGAATGGTGTCTCAAGCTCGGCGAAAGACATGAAAGCAAGGGAGCTATTAACGATCAAACAGTGTTCACATTTTTTTGGGACACCCTGTATGTGAAATAATGTTAAAACAAATGAGGAAAAGTTGTACATATGAATAATTCTGACTGTGCACTGTTGCCATATATGCGTGAGAAGACCGCCTCATCAAACCACAGCTGCGCGCGACATCTTACTGATAGCAAAAAACATGAGCAGTTCACATTCGATGCTAACATCTACAGATTCCTCCAATCGCAAAAACGATGCGAGCTATTGAATTCGTCGATGCAACTGGCTAAGTATTACTAAACTGTATGGATGCTATGAGTTTGTACATTTTGAGGAAGAAAAAAACAATACGAAGTGCAAAGTTCGTATAGCATGTTTGAAGAGGTCTTCAAGGGCCAAAGTGTGGCTAGTGTACCCAGGTACACGGGAAAAACTTTCTCAGTGAGTTCCTAAGGCAATATGGAAGTAATGTTTTTGCCCTCAATGTAGCAAGATGCCGATTATAGAGTTATTTTGATCAATCACTTGGAAGGTACAGCCAGGGCGGTTTATATTAGGTCGTTTCAAAAGTAATTTCGCTAATTTCGCTTTTCTCAAAAGGGCACCACATTTGATGGAACGAAGGTTTCTAAGAGATCTTGGAGGCATTCGATGCATTTCATTCTCTTTCTAATGGTTATGAAATTGTTGCAAAACAGTTAATGAGTTTTCAGAAAATAACCAAACTGCGACCTACGCTTTTTGAGATAGTCAAGTTTTACAGTTTTTCAAAACTTATATCAACCCTCCGAAAAGTGCAAGTAACGTTTTCATAGAACAAACCCTACAGAATGCAAATCTACTTTTTCCTCCTTTCCACAGCTTGTCATACATTTTTAACAGAACTTTAACTGATGCTACCGATTTCCATACTTGGGCAGCTAAATCCTCGTAGAACATCAAAAGAAGAGCAGCTCGCGCACTATTCGGTGCAGCATTTTCTCCTCTTTCTAAGAGGTGTTTTTTGTTTCCGATTCGTTTAGTTTCCGGAGATAAAATCATCATAAATCATTTTTTTAGCGAGCCCCAGGCTGTACCAAGAACTCGAAATTTGATATTTCGAATCCGTAAACTCTCATTTGCTTTATAAAATCAATATTAAGTCATATATCATCTTGAAAGCTTGAAATTCTGAGTAATTAATGATGTTTGATGCGATTGTGGCTGGGCCTGCCAAAATCTCTTTTAAAAAATTACGGCGAGCTACGAGAAAGAGAAAAAAGTAGTACTGTATTCTATAAGCTTTACTCTATCGAATCGTTACTTGAACTCCTTCTGAGAATTGGTATGAAAGTTTTAAAAAATCGTGAAACTTGACCATCTCAAAAAGCATGGGTCGCAGATTTTGGTTATTTTCTGAAAGCTCATTGAATGTTTTGCAACAATTTCATAACCGTTAGAAAGAGAATGAAATTCTGCACCAAACGCTTCCAAAGATCTCTTAGAAACCTTTGTTCCGTCAAATGTGGTGCCCGTTTGAAAAAGCGAAGTTATTCTCGAAACAACCTAATAAAAGTCTACCGCAAAGTGTGCGGGAAGGTAGTATCAAGGATCTAGTAGAAGCGCTTGAACTAGCACGCAGAAATCCCTGCGATCGTTTGATGAGTATAAAAAAGTGGGAAATAACTCTCGAATAGAAATGAAGAGAATGTAGTTGGATTTTGCCGCCGCATAAAGGATCTCTCTAGGAGGATACATCTAGCTGCGAAATTTCATGTGTCCGAGCTCTGTTCATGTTCGGGAAGTTGACAGCATTCATACCATACGCTTACTGCATTGGACGCACTGGAGGAGAAAGTGTATAAGGCAGTCAAGAAGGAGGTTGCCGGAAGGCTAGAAAAGGTTTTAAAAAATGTATTAACGCACACGAACGACCATCATGGTCATGCCAAGAAGTCAAAGGAGAAATACAAGCAGACCAGTGGCCGTATTCATCAACGAAACCCAGTGAGTTCCATTACCCAGTGTGTAAACTTATCCACGGGTTCGCGTACTCAGTGGGTAAGCTTACCCACGGTCGGTATTCACGAACGCTCCACCGCTGGGTTAGCTTACCCAGCACTTTAGACGTCGAGGGTGCTTGAGGTCGTAATTGCACCATATGCGAGAGACGACGCAAACTTTCCAAAATCATAAATTCTCAATTTTTGCTTCAACATCGGTTCGCGGTCTCCTTTGCTTTCAGCCTTCTTTCGGTGCCACTCACTTCAAATCTCATATGTCCTTCACTGTATATGCTGTTTGCTCGCGTCTTGCGCTCCTTTTTAAGAAGTTTTCATTTTTGCTCGTATATAGATTTTTTCGCAGTTTACTCTGTTATCAGCCCTGTTTCAGTTCGCTTGCTTGAATTTTCATATCCTTTTCATTGCATAAGCTGTTTCCTCGAATCTTTCGCTTTGGAAGTTTGTTTCTAAAGGTTTTGATGTTGGAGGTGCTAGATGTTCGCAATTGCACCATCTGCGACTGACGTCTCAAGAAATCATAAACTCTCATTTTTGCTTCAGCATCGGTTTTTTCGCGGTCTACTCTGTTTCCAGCCTTCTTTTGGTGCCACTTACTTCGATTCTCATATTCTTTTCATTGGATAAGCTGTTTTCTTGAATCTTTCGCTCCTCAAAGTTTGTTTTTTGGGATTTCGATGTCGGAGGTGCTGGGTGTTCGTGATTGCACCATCTAGGACCAAACTTTGCAAAGTCATAAGTACTCATTTTGCTCCTACATCAAACTTTTCGCAGTCTACATCTGTTTAGAGCCTATTTCGGTGTCGCGTGATTGCGCTTTCATTTTTGTCTCTGTGCACCAGCTACGTTTGCTGCGCTACGTTCTAATTTCCGTGTACTGATGTTGCGGACGTGATGCCGCCTTTAGCTTTTATGAAAACTTTCGTTTTAGAACTACGCGCCTTTCCGAGCAGAGCTCTTTTTCAAACATCAAAGACCTGTCCTTCGTGTTTTAGCGGTCCGCGCCTTTTTGAAGAAAGCTCTATTCAAAACATTAGAGATCGGTGCTTCGCATTGCATCCAGAGGTGCGATAGTCGGAGCCGAGTCTCCGCCTACCTTCACTTTTGAGCTGGTACGGGGTGACCACCTTCATTTTTGGGTTTGAGAAAAATTTTTTGTTGAGGCTTAAAAGAAGGAAAATAAGCAAAAGGAACGCAAAAGAAAGTATTGAGAGCATATATCTATGTAGTAAGTCGATCTAGGCAGTAACCGCCGAGAACCAGAATTTCGAATGATAAAATAGCGAAAAATCATGCAAAATTTCCACTGTTATAAATCTAGTGATTGAAGATGTCAGCAATTGCGACTTCATGGGTTTTGAAGGGCAAGTGTTGTTCTACCAGATACTGAAAAAATTAGGTCGATTTGAGTAGTGGTCGCCAAAAACGAGAATTTCAAAAAATTAAGCGATTTCAAGTTACTTAGTGACAGCTGACGTTTAGACTCCTATAAATCTGGAATATGAAGGTGTGCAATGTTGCGACTTCATAGGTTTTACAGAGTAAGAATTTCTCTATCGAACTATGTCCTAGCCGTACCAATCCACTGAGATGCCGCCGAGATTCGTGCTATTAAAAAAAACAGGTAAAAAACCGCTTTTTGAAATTCCACAGCTCATAACTTCTTCAGGAATGCATGAATCATGTTGCGACTTTTATTAGATTCTTCTCATCAAGAGCTTTCAGATGATATATAATATGTGGGGGTTTCTTGCCTCTCACGGCACATGCCCGGGGGTGAGGCTTTTCACCCCAAAGTCTCCACTGGCGGTCTCCGGCCAATACATTAACATGGGCGAGGTGGAGACTTTGGAGTGAAAATTCTCCACCCCCGGGCATGTGCCGTTAGAGGCAAGAAACCCCCACATATTATATATCATCTGAAAGCTCTTGATGAGAAGAATCTAACTATAGTCGCAACATGATTCATGCAATTCTTAAGAAGTTATGAGCTGTTGAATTTCAAAAAGCGGTTACCTGTTTTTTTTGAAAGCCTGAATCTCGGCGGTATCTTGATGGTTCGGTACGGCTAAGGCATAATCAGATAGAGCAATTCTTACTCGACAAAACCTATGAAGTCGCAACATTGCACACCTTCACATTCCAGATTTATAGGAGTCTGAACGTCAGCTGTCACTAAGTAACCTGAAATCGCTTAATTTTTTAAAATTCTCGTTCTCGGCGGCCACTGCTCAGATCGACCTAATTTTTTTACAGTCCGGGGAAACAACACCTGCTCTTCAAAACCTATGAAGTCGCATTTGCTGACATCTTCAACCGCAAGATTCATAAACGTGGAAATTTCCCATAATTTATCGTTATTTTATTATTCAAAATTCTGGTTCTCGGCGGTTACTGCCTGGATCGACCTACTTCCTTCACAGTACGTTATAACAAAATTTATCTGATAAAATCTGTGAAGTCTCGCTGGCTTTCACTTCAAAATACACCATTTACTAAACGCTTTATTTCAAATATACATATATGCCGCCGTATACATAAAAAATATGCTTTCAATAATCTTTTTTGCGTTTGTTTTGCTTATTTTCCGCGCACTGGCGGCAACAATCTGGAAGCATAGGCTCAGTCGACGTTAACGCTCCCCCCCCCCCTGTCGACGTCTTTGGGAGGGAGCGTCCGGCACTACCACCTTCACTTTTGGCCGGCCAGTGGTAGATGACCACCTTCACTTTTAGAGGGCCCGACTCCACCTATCGCACCTCTGATTGCATCTTTCAGTCTTATCTGTTTTTGCTTGCAAAATTAGTCATTGTTGCAGAATGTCTCAAAAGAGGGTTAAATCTGAGAGTGACGAAGAAGCTCATCGAACTCTATCTCGAGAATAAAGAAAATTACCATGCCAAATTTAAATCCGGTAGGCACGTTTGAAGTAACTGAAGTTTCAAAGCTGTTTATTCGTTTTTAAGGAAGCAAAAGCGGAGAAAGCGTGCGCCTCCAACTTCTCCTCCAATGGAGCAAAGAAATCAGCGATATGGGCGTTGCTTTCCGATTGAAGGAAAGCATTGAAGAGAAACTTAGAAATGAAGTCAAGAAGGTGCAACGCCATCTAAGGCAAGAGGTAAGTAGCAATTCATAGAATTTCGATATCTCTGCTTATTCCTTACGATTTTAGAAAGAAAAATACACAGGCACGGGAGGAGGTAGCTATAGGATGACAAAGTTAGCGCAATATCTTCAACCACTTGCTGATGCACTCGCCGAGAAGCATCATATACGTGGAGTACCTGGAATTAAGTGGTAAGTGGTGGAAGTTGTTTGAGTTAGATAAGGTTTTTGTTATAGATGACAATTGCGGAGACGAGAGAGCCGGCGAAGCGGACAACTAACATGAACGATGTTGAAATATGGGTCTTTATTGATTTTAACACAGTTTCAGTTGTTCAAACTAATTCACTTTATTCCAGGCAGGAGGAAGAGGATAATGTCGCGACTAGGCCATCTTCCCAAGAGTGCCTCGGATTATCTAATGAAGCCGATTCCGTTCCTTCGTCTTCCCGCCAGAGAAGCGCAGCCGCGTGAGTCATTCATTTCTCATCTCCTTCCACTTGCTTGTAGCTCCTTTTCCAGAGTCGTCCGCGAATCCCTGTCCCTCTTCTCAGATAAGAGGAAGGAACTTTATGAAGAAGAAATTAAGTTAGCGCGCTTGAAGCAGAAGAAGATCCAACTAGAGATTGAAGTAGCCGAACTCAAGAAAGAAGAGGCGAAGTTACTTTTGGATGCAGCTAAGGCAAGACATGTAAGCACTACTTCGACTGCACCTGCACCTGCACCATCCTCCTCCACCACATCACCTTTTGGATATGTGTATTACCAAGACTTGTAGTCAAATACAGAAGTTCATTTTCTCTCTTGTAGAAGTAGTTCTGCAAACAGTTTCAGAGATCTTCCCACATTGAAGTTCACGTTGTTTCTGTTGCATTCCCGATGACTGAAGCACTTTATCAAATGAATACATCACTTTGATACCTCATTGTCATGATTGATAGTTGATAACTTTTGATGAATGTTATGAAATAAATGAAGTTCGATACCTGAGAACATGGGCAATGCATGTAAGAAACGAAATTGTTAGAACACGTATCATGTGAAATAATTTTCAACGATATAACGACGTATGCTATCGCCATCTGTGACGTCTGGGAGTTGGCTTTCCTCATTCCCTGCGTCAGGGTACTGCGGGGGAATTGATTTTTCGTCAGCTCCCGCGTCTCGATACAGTAATCGCGAAGACAGCAGGCTGCCACGATGATTTTAGCGCTTCTTGTCGGACTGTACCTGTAAAAAAATATAAGTAGTGTTAAATGTGCGTCGCGTATAATAGGCGTACCTGAGCTCCGTATGTAACGCCTGAAACTGGCGTTTTAGTGAGCCGAAGGCGTTTTCTATTATAACGCGACCACGACAAACGGCATCGGTATAGCGCGCCTCTGAAACGAACTAGTTGAACTGCCTTTAACTAGTTTTATATTTTACCTACTGCTGTCCTATACTCTCTTAGAATAAGCTTCAGAGGGAACTTTTCAGATCTATACGCGGAATCAGCAAGCAGTTTCCCAGTTTTTCGCCCCGTTTGAAACGACCTATAAAGGTCACTGCTGCGGAAGACTTTAAAGAAACCCTTAATGTAAACAGTATTTTTAATCTTACCCTAGAGTCATGAGCCCTCCCTGGATATTTTGAGCTCACCCACAGAAAGCGTTGGTCAAGATTACAGACGGCTGCCATGTTAATACTGTGATAGTCCTTTCTAGAAATTTTTGGTTTATGTAAGGCGTCTAGGACAGCAATGCTGCTACCTGTTCACGTAACTATCCTCAGAGATACTTGGCGCGATAATCCTGACATGCGACCCATCAAGTGCTCCGATAATATGTGGTATACCACATAACTCGAAAAACCTAAAGTAACCTAAAGTGAGCAATTTGATCTAGAAAATTATAGCAACCAACTAACCGTGTCTGCATGACACGCTGCTCATCTTCCTGTGGCCACTTGATAAATTCTTTTCGTCGTCTGTAGAACAAATCGGACACTTCGGCTATCACGCGCGATATGGTGGACTGTGAGCAGCCAAGAGTCAATGCAGTAGTTCTCTAAAATTGAAATTTTAGTCTATCTACTTTGGAGCTCAAATTACCTCAAGGCTTGCACTGCCTACGTGCTCCAAGAAAATGCCGAGTTTGTGGGCACTAGTGAGGGACCTTGTCCTCAAGGTCCTGGAAGCCAAATCATCTTGTATCAAGGCGAGCAAGCTGTGGAATCCATTACGAGTCAAACGAAATCGCTGCCTAATGCGATTTTCGTCTAAAATCAGTAATGGATCTACTCGTTCACGCAGTTCACGACTCGTCGCCATCTCGATCAGATACTGGATGGTTTCCCTCTCGGAGTCGTCCATTCTCTAAAAATTCTGATGATGTGGGATGCGAACATTCTAGTCAAAAGCATCTTCGAAACCAAGAATAGACATCAAACAGGCCATTCTAAACAATATAGCAGCTAGCAAAGATATCAAAATGTATGAATCATTTCTATACCGGAAGAACCGAGACTTCGTAAGAGACTCAACGAACTAATCAATATTTGAAAGGATGGCCACTTTGTTACCCATTGCGATTCTCGATGCGTGCTTGGGTAGGAAGTTATCCACGAAAAGTGGATATCAAACCCACGATTTCTGGGTAAGGAGTTTCTTGAATACCGGCATTGGGTAGGCTAACCCATTGAAGCTGTTCGTGAATACCGGTATGGCGGCATTTTGTGGGTTAGCCGACCCAGCGGTAGACTTAACCCACTGAGTTCGCTTATCCAGCAGCTTCGTGAATACCGGTTTCGTGGGTTTAGGCTACCCACTGGGTAGGATAACCCACCGGGTTTCGTTGATGAATACGGCCACAGATGGATGGAAGACAAACCCTTTTCCCGAAGTAAGTGCTTTAAAGCTCCAAATAACAAGACGCACTGAAATGTTTCTTGTGTCGTGAGGTTTGCCACATAGCCTCAAAATGTGGTAGAAGTACGAATACAGCGGTGAATAGCCTTCAGCAAGGGAGCAAGAGAAATGATGAGCATAATCAGCCTGGCGCTAATACCGTAGGAGAGATCACCATCGCTGATAATGTTGATGGATGGTGCATGACCGTTCGACCCACTCATCTCAGTCTGAATTCACCTCCGAAAATTATGGGAAAACTAAGTATTTGCGGTGTTAATTTTTTGGAATAGCTATAGAAGCTATTATGGACACTGGATCTGTAGTGTATACCATATCCGTTGGTATTCTAAAGCTAGCCCGTGAAAAGCGTGTTGACTTTGATAGACAAGCTACGAAGAAAGGAGATGGGAATCGACGCAAACTTGCAGACGCACTGGAAAACGTCATGAAATTTTTGGGAGAAGTAGTCACTAAAGTTGGTGCACAAGGGACAAGAAAGCTCCTGTACATATACATGCTCCGGAAAAGTGGGGATCTACCCTCATTTTGGGCACCAATGCACTGCACAACTCGAAACATGGATCGAAAATGTTAGCACAAATGCGGTTTGGGGGACAATGTTTCGATGATCGACCAATCATCCAAGGACCATCTTATAACGGGGGGAGGGGGAGGGGGGGGGGGGGCACGTGGAAAGCGACAATGCAAGGCGCAAAGTGCAGGCATTGTAAAATCGCTCTTTTTAGTTTTTACGGAGTTTTACTTATGGCGCTAATTCATGTATCCCCCACTCCCTCCCCCACCCCTTTCCCCCTCTCCCCTCCTCTCCCCTCCCCCACCTTGGCCCCGTGTCACTTTACCACTGAAGAGTTTTGAAAGCCACAAAATTTGGGGTTTGTCGCCTTCCGCATCGCACCTTCTTGCAACAAGTTCCTGCTCCGAAGAACGTCTAAGTGATCCATTGTTGGTGTTTTTCCCGTTAGTTGTAACCAATTTCTTCCTTACTTATAATCACTAGCCCATATTACTCTTTGTTGTTTCCATGTAGTACATGTAGTGCCCCCCCCCCTCGAGAACGGGTCGCGAAATCTTTGAAAATCACTTACAAGGGTTATAAAATTGTGCAAATGATTTGTATGCACTTGTAAATAACGAAAATAATTTTTAAAATTTCAAAAAAATTCGTTTTAGCCCTAAAAAAATTTCGGGATTTTGAGCCCGCGAAAATTCTGGGAAGATACCAAAAAATTCGGAGTGCGTGGCTGACGCCACGCACCTTCATCGGTAAAAATTCCTTGTCACCCCTCTCCCCTCCCCGAGCCGAAATCCTGGGTACGCCGCTGGTGTGACTGTATATACTCAAAGGATAGATGCCCACTAAAAATTGAGTCTAAAGGCCGCATGCACTAACCTCCCCGCTGGGGAGGGGATCGCAGCTTAAAAGAAAGCTTTATTAGGTTGTCCGGAAATCAATGCAGGTTTTGATTTTCAACCGCAATAAGTCATACGCTTCTCATTTCTGAATAGATTGCAAAATACCATTTGATAGAGCAAAGCAAGCTATACAAGATCGCGACTTTGCTTTTACAACAGCTTTCATCCTCATCGAGATCCGAGCCAAAAACTAAAAAGATCCAACTGCCTAAAAAGTCGAGAAAAATTGTAAATCCGTTCGAAACAATCCTACAAAAATTCTAACTTGCTCACGTGAACACTATCCATATAAGACGTCTATAAGCGCCGTTGCTGTATTTTTTCCTTTGTTAGAAACCAAGAAAACGGAAACTTTCGTATTTTTGCCAAAGTGATGCTGTGCTGTCCCCACTTAAGTAGTTGTATACTACAAACCTGTACAAGCATGAGCGTGAATTTTCAGCTCTTCAAAAACTTTAGTTCTTGAGAAATTCGAATTTCAGCCTGTACCACCTGACTAAAAGAAGCTCTGTTTGATATTTCTCGAGAACTAAAGCTTTTAAAGAGCTGAAAATTTACGCTCATACTTCTACAGGTTTGTAGTATACAACTACTTGAGTGGGGACAGCACAGCATCACTTTGGCAAAAATATGAAAATTTCCGTTTTCTTGGTTTCTAACAAAGGAAAAAATACAGCAACGGCGCATATAGACGCCTTATATGGATAGTGTTCACGTAAGCAAGTTAGAATTTTTGTAGGATTGTTTCGAACGGAGTTACAATTTTTCTCGACTTTTTAGGCAATTGCATCTTTTTAGTTTTTGGCTCGGATCTCGATGAGGATGAAAGCTGTTGTAAAAGCAAAATCGCCATCTTGTAGAGCTTGCTTTGCTCTATAGAAAAATATTTTGCAACCTATTCAGAAATGAGAAGCGTATGACTTATTTCGGTTGAAAGACAAAACCTGCATTAATTTCCGGACAACCTAATACATTTCGAAACTCCAGATACCTGGATTTCACATTGTGTACCTGTCCGTAAGTATTCCTACTACCCTTCATATGAACATGTTGAACAGGAGCGAGAAGCTGTACGAACCGCATTTTTTAGCTTTAATATGATCCCTGATGATCCCCGGCACTTTTCTTTAGAGTCATTTTCTTCCTTTCTCCGAAGTTAACGAAAAACCTTCAAAGTTGTGCAGATTATCTAAACCGACAGTGCTAAGCATGTTGCTGACGAGAACAAATAAGTTTTTGAAAAGTCGAATTTTTCGGTAAATTTCAAATTTCGACCTGTGGATCATCGAAAATCTCATGACTTTAAAACATCATTTGTTCTTATCAGCAACATGGTTAGCACTGTCGGGTTAGATAATCTGCACAACTTTGGAGGTTAATAGTTAACTTCGGAGAAAGAAAAATGACTTTGAAGAAAAGCGCCAGGGATCATCAGGGATCATACAAAAGCTGGAAAATGCGGTTCGTACAGCTTCTCGCTTTTCTTCAACATGTTCATAGTGAAGGGTAGTAGGAATACTTACGGATAGGTACACAACGTGAAATCCAGGTAACTGGATTTTCGAATAAAGCTTTCTTTTAAGCTGCGATCCCAGCGGGAAGGTTAGTGCATGCGGCCCTAAGACGGTGAGAGGAGAGGAGCCTTAACTAAATTGGTCCACGCGTATTACTTGAGCTATGAATAATCAGTTTTAACAAGAACACTCACCAAGTAAGGTGTTTGTTTCCTCTCTCTTTAGCAGCTCAGTTAAAGCTTTGTTCTTAATTTTGCCTAGTCATTCTGCAAAACACCTTCTGTCTAAACACTGTTTTTGGTCATCAATCGTAAGTGGCGACTTGTATACAGCTGGATCAATTGTCAATTACACAGGATACATAGAGTAGGAGAGCGAAACCGACTGGGGCCATAACTCAGAGGCAGGGCTAGATGCTTAGTAATGTGCAGGCTCCTGATTATATAATAAGACACTATTTGATCATGAAATTGAGTTACCTTTTGGTGGCAATGGCTCAAGATTAAAAATCGTGGTCTCAAAAATAAAGAACAGAACTCAAAATGGACGAACTTTAGCAAACTACAATTTAGTTTTGGTGCTTTGAAAGGATCGTTTTCGTAAACTGATTCGTAGTGTCTAAAAATCGCGATCAACAAACTATTAAGCAAGTTGGGTTAGGTGAACAAAAGTTTTTACTTGCATGTATCAATGCGCACGCTTAATCCTGATGCCGAAGTTTGCATATTTGAGTGTAGACCTATACTATAAATTGTCTGAGTCTCTAATCAGTCAGCCCCTAAAATGAAAGATTGAAACAAGGGGTGTTGGCTGATTGATATAGAATAAAAATTAGTTTACGGTCAATCTGATCATCAGAGCAGGTCAGTCATTACCTAACGGATTGCATTGACTCGGACATACTAAATTCAGCTTCACTCAGCCAGTTGCAAATCTTGTTGAAATATTGTTCTAAGCCAAGTTTCTGTTACTCCTTTATTTCAAAAATTCGACCACTGTCAAGTTTGGATGATTGGAGGAAAAGGCATGTCTGCTTCTTATTCTACATTCTATTAGGTTGTTGCAAAAATAATGTCCGTTTTTCTAGGCCAACTTTCCAAACAACTTTTTTCCTTTGAATCTTCTTCGATATGGATTTTTGCATAAGCTTTCTTCATGCTCTTTCTAACAGTGGTAAAATTAAGCTTCTATCTCATCTGTAAGAATTTCACCAGCATCTCACACAACTGCACTCAAAATCGAAATTTCGTTGCTTCAACTCCCTTGGCCACAATTCAGGCACAAATGAACGAATTATTTTGAGAACATAGCCACTGTATTAGTTGAAAATCGTTTACCTATAACATATATAAGTAGATTTTTCGAAAATATCCAAACTGAGAAATTAACGTCCTGAAATAGATACTCGATGCTGGCATTCTATGGGACCAAAGTTTCTCATAATTAGGCCAATTGCCGAAGCTTCGCTTCTGTATAGGACATCTTGCCTACAAGTTCTGCAGAAAAAGTCATTCA